AGGTCTCCAAATCAAGGAGTATGGACCGCCTTTCCAGTTGATTGAGGATTCTTTCATTTATTTCAACATTTTTTTCAGTTTTCAGTGCAAATTTCTTTCACTTCCTTGGTTCAATTTAGTCCTACATATTTACTTCTTTTCTGTGATCTCAGAAATGGATTTGTCTTCTTAATTTCCTTTTTGGATCATTCAATGCTGGTATATAGAAATATATTTCTTGTATTCTGGAAATTGCTGAATTCATTTTTAGATCCTCTAGGTTTTTGTTTGGATTCCCTGGGATTTTATTTATCACATCATCTATAATTCATTTCTAGTTTGCCCTTTATTTCACTGTTTTGCCTAATTGGTTATCTAGTATTCTAGTACAAGGTTGAATAGCAGTGCACATTCAATGAAAGCAGATATCCTAATTTAGTTCCTGATGTTAGAGGTAGGAAGAACATTCAGGTTTCTAGCACTGTATTTGATGATAGCTTTAGGGTTTTGGTAAACATCCTTTATAATGTTAAGGAATTTCTCTTCTATTCCTAGTATGCTGACTTTTTAAACACTTTGAATTTTGTCAATGGTGTTTTTGCATCTATTGACATGATCATATGGTTTTGCCCCTTCATTCTATTAATATGGCACATTAGGTTTTTTCCCTTATGTTGGGTCAACCCCTTTATTCCTGGGATGAATATCACTTAAGTCATAGGGGTATAATCCTTTCCTTACACTGTCATATTTGATTTGATTTGAATTTTGCTAGAACTTTTACATTTATATTTATAAAAAATGTTGGTCTGTAGTTTTCTTTTGATGTCATTATCTGATTTTGAATCAAATAATTTGCCTTATATAATGTGTTTGGAAGTCTTCCTTCCTCTTCTTTTAAAAGAAGTGTTTGATGTTAATTCTTACTGGTGAAGCTATCTGATCCTAAGATCATCATTATTGGGAGATTTTGATTACTGTTTCAATCTCTTTAATGTATAGGTCTGCTCCTTTTTCTATTTGTTCTTGACTCAGTTTGGTAATTTTTATGTTTCTAGGAATTTGCTCATTTCATTCAGATTATCAAATTAGTTGTACAAATGTTGATAGTATTATTTAATAATCCTTTTCATTTCCATAAGATTGTCGTGTCTACTTTTTTTTGTCAATTTTTATTAGTATATATTAATTGAGCCAAAATAGTTAGATTTTTACATCTCAATACATACATAAATATACTTGGAATGGATTCGTAACTCTATTACATTTTTCATTCCCCTTCTCCTCTACATATTCCTAACAGTCCCTCTTTTACATTCCTGTCCTTTTCCTGCCCTCTAACTTTACACATAAGGGAACACATGCAATACTTGCCTGGTGACAACAGCTTGTGGCTTGATAAGATTCTCTCAAGGTCTGCCACTTTCCTGCAAATTATATGAATTTCTTTTTTGTTATAACTGAATAAATCTCTTTTGTGTATATAAATCACATTTTATTTATCCATTCATGTACTGATGGGCACCTAGGTTGATTCCAGGCTTGGCTATTGTGAATTGTGCTACAATAACATGGGTGTGCATGTATCTCTATATTAAGTTGAGTTTGATCCTTTGGGTTTATATCCAGAAATGTATAGTAGGATCATATGGTAGTTCCAATTTTGATTTTTTGAGGACTCTCCATGCTAATTTCCATTGTGGCTGCACTAATTTACATCCCCAACAGCATAAAAGGATCCTTTCCTCACATCCTCATCAACATTTCTTGTTTTTTTTTTTCTTGAGGGGTGAAATAGAATCAAATGTGTTTTTATTTGCATTTTCCCTTGAGGCAAAAAATGTTGAACATTTTTCCTGTCCTTATTGACCATTTGTATTTCTTCATTTGAGAACTGCTGTTCAGTTCTTTTTCCCATTTATTGATTGGACTATTGTTCTTTTTGGTGTTTCATTTTTTTAGTTCTTTATATATTCTGAATATTAATCCTGTCCAATGAATAGCTGGCAAAGATTTTCTCCCCTTCTGTAAGCTGTCTCTTCACTCAATTGTATTATTTCCTGAGCTACTGGAATCCTATTCAGAATTCAAAAAGTCATTGCCTGCCTTTATCTTGAAGGGTTTTCCCCATGCTCCCTCTAGTAGTTTCAAAGTTTCTTACATGAAGGTCTTTGATCCCTTTGAGTTGATTTTTTGCAGGGTGAGAAACTGGTTATGTTTCAATCTTCTACTTGCTCATATCCAGTTTTCCCAGCACTACTTGTTAAACAAAACTCTCTTTTCTCCACTGATGTTTTTGGCACTTTGTGAAGAATTAGATGGTGTAGCTGTGTGACTTTATTTCTGGGTCTTCTTTCTATTCATTTGACCTATGCATCTCTTTTTGTGTGCTTCTATCATGCTGCTTTAATTGTTATGGCTCTGTCATATGGTTTGAAGTCAGATACTGTGATACTTCCAGCATAGCTCTTTTTACCCAGGATTGCTTTGGCTATTCAGGGTCTTTTGGGTTTCTATTAATTTGGGGTTGCTTTCCCACTTCTGTGAAAACTTGATTGAAATTTTGATGGGAATTGCATTTAATCTCAATGACTTCTGGTAATATGGACAATGTTAATTCTCCTGATTCATGAATAAGGGATGTCTTACCATCTCCTGGTGTCTTCTTTAAGTTCTTTCTTTAGTGTTCATAGTTTTCACTGTAGAGTTCTTCAATATATTTGATTAAACTTGTGCCAAGGTGTTTAGGCTATTGTTTGTTGTTTTCTTGAATTCTTTTTCTATGCATTTCAGTGCATAGAAAAGGTACTGATTTTTTTGTCTTTTTTTCTTTTTTATTATTGTTGTACTGTGGTACATTGTGATAGTTACAAAAGTTCTTACACATACCATAGTTGAATTTGCCACTGACTTTTGTATATTGATTTTGCTCCTGCTACTTTACTAAAACGTTTATGGAATCTAAGAGTCATCTGATGGAGTCTTTAGGGTCTATTAAGTATGGATCATATCACGTGTAAATAAGGAAATTTTGACTTCTTCCTTTCCTATTTGTATTCCTTTTGCTTCTTTCCTTTGCCTTATTGCTCTGGCTAAGATTTCAAGTACTACATTGAATAAGAGTGGTGAGAATGAACACTCTTTTCTTGCTCCTGAAACTTAAATGCTTACAGCTTTTCCAGTTCAGTGTAATGTTGGGTAAAAGTCCATCATATGTAGCTTTTATTATGCTGAGTCATATCCTTATATTCCTAGTTTCTTCAAAGATTTTATCATGAAAGATGTTGAATTTTTTCAATGGTTTTTCTGCATATATGGAGATGATGTGATCTTTTTCTCCATATAATTTAATAGTTACACTGTGTTCTGGGGAGCTGAAATTTTTTGAATTACAGAGAGGTAGTGGTTGTACTTTTCTTTAATTTTTAGAGAGGCTCTCACTATGTAGCCCAGGCTAGCCTCAAACTCAGGATCCTCCCGCCACGAATTCCTGAGTGCTGGGATTACAGGCAGGCACTACCACCCACATGTGATTGCACATTTTGAATGCACTGAATGCCACCAAATTATGCACTTTGTAACAGTTAAAGGTATGTTATGTAAATTTCACTCAATTTAAAAATGGGTCATAATCCTATGCTTAGTATTAAATCATAGCTGCATAAATTAACTGTAGTACATCCTATACCACTGTAATAATTTCATAGCCCTCTCTGTTGCTTCTTGCAGTGAGCTCAAGTGTTGCAAGCATCTGCTTAAAATTCCCTGTGTCACTGATGGTCTCCATGTGGCCCATTTTCTCTGCAGTAAGTTGCATATAGCAATATAAAGTTTCTCTCATGCTTGCATATTTTACCATACACAATGCGTATAAAAAAGTTATCAATGGTTTGTGCATAGGTAAGTCTTTTGGTCAACAGCAAGCTATTCATTTAAAGTTCTGGGGACTTAAAAATTATACATGGATTTTCAATGGCACAGGGCTGGGAGGAAAACCCATGCTTTCAATGGTCAAGTGTATTTAGTTGTTCTTTTGTAAACAGAGATTGTTGAGAAAAAATCTTTCACTTCCATTCTAGAAGGAGCATCAAGCAATCTTTAGTGTGCTGAGCCTGCTGTCAGAAATGTGGCTCTCTAGACAGGACCAAGAATGCTGAAAGACAATTGTTGAGCTTTGGCTGCCTGGCATACTTTCTCATGTCAAATGATATCAGCAATTTAGTGACTTGACTATGCTTTGGGAAACCAGCCATTTCCCATCCTTAGTTCAAGGGTTTTGTGCAAGGCAAGACACTGGCATTTCCAAAGAAGTCAGTGTGACCTAGCTTAAGCCAATAAATGTCAAATGTAGGACTTTTGTTAACAACATTGAAAAGAGAGGTGGAATCTATTACTGGACACTTGTACTAAAATAAGAGTTGTATAAAATTCCTTTGGAAGGAAGCTATGGTGATAAATGGGTGCCAGGCAGGTTTAGTAGATGGCAATCGTGCTTTGTTACTGCCTTACACATCTCTGCACCATGACCCTCCCCAACCTGAACTCTGGTAACTGGTTTTTCTTTCTCCCACACCAAATTGTCAGCTGTCTAAGAGAACAAGACACATCTCCATTGTGCTTGGTCCTAGCACAAGAGATGGCATTTCTACTTCTGTTACAGAAACTATCCTGATGGACTTAGCAGCATGGCATGGAAGACTATGATATCTATCACTGAGAACTCAATTTTCTGGAGATCCAGGACCTCTACTTGTCAATACCATGTCCCACAGAGCACACCTTGTACCCTTGTGTTCCTGTCTGAGCTGAGACATGTGGTTCTCACTGAGTCATCAGCTGTAGGTACTGAGGTAGTCACTGCATGAGTCTCACACAACTACACAGAAGACGTCATCTGACAAAGGCAGTGCGTGTGGGTAGATTTCATAGAAAGCCTTCTATGATGACTCACCATAAAACCAAAGGAAAACTGTGGTCACTGAGCCCACTCCCCCTTCTTCCTCTGGTGGGTGCTAAAAGAAAGCAAGAACAAGGCTCCAGAAGACCTAAGCAGCCTTCCTGGGAAGATGCAGCTGCTTCTGCTCCTGTTGGCCTTCTTTCTGCCACCCATGGCAAAGGCAGGTGAGTGAGCACCCCACCCTCAGAGGCCCAATCCCGTCCCTCAGCCAGCGCAGATCTCCTGTCCCTGCTGTACACCCCTAATCATCTATCCAAATGTGATACTGGATATGTTGTCAGCAGGAATAGGAAGGCAGAGACTCTAGAAGAGACAGTGGATACCCCCAACCCCACCCTTCTCATCTCAAAACTGGGCTTTCCCTGAAGGACACAGTAGGTGGTGGGAATATGGAAGAGAGAAAATACTGAATTACTGGAGAGGGCAAAATGCATCTGACTCTGTGTCTGGGATGAGACACGTGTTCCCCTTACCTGCGGCTTAGCAGACAACTCCAGAGCTCAGCAACCCCAGAATTGGTGGATCACTGTCCTCAGGACACTGTTTTTGCCTCTGCCTAGTCCCAACCCACCTGGCTCCTATCTCTAACCCTGTTCTTCCCAGGCATTTGGGAGATCACATGTTTTCAAGTAGAAGCCATTGTGGCAGGTGTAGCAGGCCCTAATGTCTCTGTTTTCCAGAATCCCTCTAACACAGTCCTATCAACCCTCAAAGAGAGACTAACTGAAGTCATTCGCCATGAAGCCACTGAACATTGACTGGGTACCTACTACATGTCAGGCCTCAAGAAACAGGATGTAACAAAATCTATATTTAAATTGAAGTCTTGGTAGCTAAAATGCAGCACCATCCCAGATCTCAGGAGGGTCTTAGAAACTCACTAGAAACACAAAAGTCACCAGAGGAATTATGAGGAGTCTTGGGGAATTCATTGTTCACAGAGAGCTATGCTCACCTCCAACTATGCTTGGAAGAAATATTTATAAATCAAGACCTGCTTTTCTCTCATTTTCCAGAGGGGGAAAGTGAGTCCTCTTCCCTAATTGCTCCCAATTCCAGGGCATTCAAAGTTCCCAGACTCCCAGTAGGTCTGTGCCACCAAGCAGAACCCAACTGGTGCATCTGATGGGTGCACACAAGCCAACAGACTTTTCTTTCAGGAGAGATCATTGGGGGACAAAAGGCCAAGCCCCACTCCCACCCCTACATGGCCTATCTTCAAAGGTTGGATAATGGTTTTTGGAAGATGTGTGGTGGCTTCCTGATACAAGAGGACTTTGTGATGACAGCTGCTCACTGTTCAGGGAGGTAAGGAGCGGGAGACAGCCCAACCTCCTGGAATCACTCCACAGCGACACCAGTTTCTTCCCAAGGAACAACCTGGGCTTCTAGGAACTTATGTGCAGGATAAGAGAGAGGACCAGCCAAGCCTCATTGGAAAGATAGGCACATTGGTCCCAGAGGCATTGCTGAGTGGATAAGGAGGCTCTATTTTTATTTAGACCTAGGTTGGCATTGCAATGAAAACTAAAGCAATTTCATGTTTCCCTGGGACTAAATGACCCTAGAGAACCTCTGACACAGTCCCTGATGGCTCCAGAATTTTACCTCAATAGCTAAGAAGCAGAGGGTACAGTCACTCCTGTCCCCTCAATTTTCCTTCAGTTGTAGCCCCACCTCGCCAGGCTGTATCCTGCTCTTAACACCTCCTGAGCTGTGTCCCCTCTAACTCCCCACTTCCCTCCCCAAACACACTCTGCTCTCTGTGCAGCTCAATAAATGTCACCCTGGGTGCCCACAACATCAAGGAACAGGAGAAGACTCAGGAGGTCATCCCTGTGAAAAGAGCCATCCGCCACCCAGACTATCAGCACCTCACAAATGACATCATGTTATTGCAGGTAAAGCACACCTTCCTGCTGCCCTTGCTGTCCTTGGTGCAGGGTCTCCCCGTCCCTCTGGGACCCTGCTCTTTCCTCTTTTCCATCCTGACTAACACAGATGTCCAGGCCCAGAGGCCACTGGCTGAACTCAACTCTCTCAATCTTTTCCTGTCAGCTGGAGAGAAAGGTCAAGCTGACTCCAGCTGTGCAGCTCCTCAGACTGCCCAGAAGCAATTCCCAGGTGAAGCCAGGGACAGTGTGCAGTGTGGCCGGCTGGGGGCAGATGACCCCAACAGGCAAACCTTCAGATGAACTGCAGGAGGTGAAGCTGACAGTGCAAAAGGACCAGGAGTGCAAGACCCACTTTAGCAAATACAACAATACTTCTCAGATGTGCGTGGGAGACCCAAAGATAAGACATGGTCCTTTTCAGGTAAAACTGAGCATCTGCCTCTCTTGGCTCTGGGAAAGGGTTTTGGGAAGTTAGGGAACATGGAGACCCAAGCATCAGAGGACTCTTTTGCCCACAAAGCTGTGAGTCTCCCTCTGACTAGCTGGAGAAGGAAAAAACTAGGAGCCCTGCCACTTACCAAGGGGTCTCTGTTGACTACCATTCCATAGAACCATGAGTCTGCAACATGCCACCCTACCTTAGATGTTTCTTAAGGGGCAGAAATTATAGCCAAGTGGCTCTTCACAGATAGCACCTACCCTTATCACTGGGTTCATTCTCCATGTTCAATATCAGCCCCACTCACCTGTCTCCATATTTGGAAGAAATTGTGCCACACACCTTTATAGGGAAGAGAATCCCAGAACCTGGTGGAGAAGACAGAGGCTGGTCTCATGGGTGAGGTGAACCAGTAACAATGTACACGGTGGACAGAGCAGGGCAGCTGCTGGTCCCCAGGGTGCTCTTTTCCCCCAAGAAGGTTGCTCAAGTCATCCTTCTCTTAGAGATGGCAAAAGATAGCATGGAAGACAGGGCCAGTTGGAGTAATGGCTCATTCCTCCTCTCTCTCTCTATTCACAGGGGGATTCCGGAGGCCCCCTGGTGTGCAACAAGGTAGCACAGGGCATTGTCTCCTATGCACGCAATGATGGGACAGCTCCACAAGTCTTCACCAAGGTCTCACATTTCCTAAAATGGATAAAGAACACCATGAACCACCGCTAACTACAGGAGACAGACTTAACACCCTCTTTGACTACCTTCCCTGGAAGTAGGTCCAGGGAAGATGGGAGGTGCCAAAAACTGAATAAAGATGCATTAGCTTCTGAAACACCGGCTTCTTGATTATTGTTTATTTCTTGATTTTATTCATGGGGACCAACTCTGTGCTAGGCAGACCAATGATACAATTCTGCTGTTTTCTGTGTTGCCCATTTCCTTCTCCCCTCCCCACCTCCTCAAAGCCCAATTCAAAGCTATTACCCAGCTCCTCCTTATATGTTCTGTTCTCTCCAGGGCCTGCCCTTCTGACAGGACTGAAGCTGAGTACCATCAAGAGAAACTTTGACGGCTCTTTTCCTGGTCCTCAGGGTGGATTTCTTACCTCCTCTGTGTAATGAAGCAGAGGGAAAGAATAACACCATTGATCGTAGTGACCAAGCAGACATACCTGAGGTCACTGCTTGGGGACATAGCCCCACCACACTGAGCAGGGAAAGGGCCTTCCTAAGTGGGACATTTCTTCGTAGTAAAGAGATGAGTGGGATGGAGATTCCTTGAATAGTTCCTCATTCTCATAGGGAATTAGTTCCCTTTCCCGTCCTCCTCTGAAATCACGGCCAAGATTGGCCTCTGGCCTCTCCAGTGCCCCTCCTGCTCCATCCCTGTTCAGAGTTCTCAAAATCTGCCAACCCCTGTCCTCTCTAGACCATGCTGATCTGAGCAGGTCCCTTTTTTTATCCCCCAACCTATGCCACACACAGCTCTGTGTGGTTCCTTCAGGGTCCCACCAGTAGAGTGCCTGCCCTGCTCAAGCTCTGGGAGAGAATGACCTCTGAGGACCAGGCCAGTGATGCCACCATGCAGGACCCATGGAGGATGATGCTGGCAGGGTTTCTCTCCAGCACAATGGACCCCATCTTTCACTTGGCTAGCCAGGAACACTCTCCACATTGAGCTCAGAGCCCTCCAGTATGCTCAGGGTCCATGGCCACCTGGTCCCTCAGAGCCTGATCCCCTTCAGCCTGTCTCTCCTAGCCACTGCTGGACTCTAGGCTAAGACTCCCTGATGCTCACGAAGGTGATATCAGTGTTTCAAGTTCAAAAGAGCAGAAAGCACAACTTTTTCATCACTCAGGAAACACATACTCATTGAGCAGTTACTGAGTGTCATGAAAATTTTAAAAAAAGAATTTCCCTATCAAATGACAGCTTTAAATTATTTGAAAGTTCTTTAATTGCATGTATTTATGGTGTAAAAAACGATAATCTGATGTATGCTTGTAATGTGGAATGATTAAGCTAATTAATTACCTCATTTTTGTAGTAACAACATCTGAAATTAATTCTCTTAGCAATTTTCAAATAGACAATGTATTGTAAATTATAGTCAGCATGCTATGATGCATTAGATCTCAGAAAACGTATTCCTCCTGTCTAACTGAAGTTTGTACAGTTTGATCAACATTTCCCAGTTCTCCCTAACTCTCCAGTCTTGGAAACCATTATTCTACTCTCTGCATCTACAGGTTCAATAGTTTAGATTGTATGAAAAATCATGCAGTAGTGTCCATCTGTGCCAGGCTGGTTTTGCTTAGCATAATATACTCCAGGTTGATCCATGTTGTTCCCAGTGACAGAAATTCATTTTTTACAGGTGATTGTATTACAATGTGACAACATGCCACATTTTCTTTATCCACCTTTCACTGATAGACACAGGCTGTTACCTGGCTAAGATGAATAGTGCTAAAGGAACATGGGAGTCTAGTTACCTATTCAACATTCTGATATCAAATACTTTGAGTATTTACCCAGAGGTGGGATTACTGGACTATATGTTAGTCCTGTTTTTGTTTTTCAAAGAACCTTCATTCAGTTTTCCATGAGTATACCAACTTCAATTCCCACCAACAGTGAACACGGGTTCCTTCTTCTCTACATTGCCACCAACAGTTGCTATCTTTCATCTTTTGATAATAAGCATTCAGCTGGTGGAAGGTGATATCTCTCTGTGGTTTTTGTTCACATATTTCTGATGATTAGTGACATGGTTGTCTCTTCTTTCTTGTGGTACAGCTGTTTGAACTCAGAGCCTCATATTTGCTAGGCAGGAGCTCTGTCCCTTGAGCCATAACCCCAGCACTTTTGGATTTAGTTATTTTTCAGATGAGGTTTTGCATTTTTGCCCTGGGGCTGGCCTCAGACTATGATTCTCCTTCTAGCCAAGACCACAGGCACATGCCCCCATGCCAGGCTTATTGGTTGAGTTGGAGCCTCATTATTTTGCCCTAACTGTCCTCAAACCATGATCCTTTGTATCTTTGCATCTCAAGTAGCAGGTATGAGCCACAGTGCTCTGCTGTGTCTTCTTTTAAGAAAACCCTTGGCTCATTTTTAAAAGGGTTGTTCACATTCTTATTACTAGGTGTTTAAGTTCAAGAGATTGTGCATATTATCCTTATCAAATGTAGCTTTCAAACATTTTGTCCCAATTCATACACTGTTTCTTCACTCTATTGTTTCCTTTTCTGTGTAAAAGTTTTTTAACTTGATGAGATCCTATTTATCTATTTTTACTTTTTATATTTGAGCTTTTGTGATAAAATCCAAACACTCATGGCTAAGACCAATGTCATGTAGCTTCCCCCTAGGTTTTTTCTACCCATTATACAATTTTAGATTCTTCTTTTCCTCCTCTCCTAGTTTCCTGTAATAGTATTTTGTGTATATATACACTGTTTGTCTCTGCACAGGTCTTTACTAAAAGACTATTTTGTCTGATAAAACATAGCTCCACCATTTTCTTTTGGTTTCCATTTGCATGGAATATCTTTTTACCTTCCTTTACTTTCAGTCTGAGTGTTCTTAAAAGTAATGTTTGGACAGGTGTCAGTGGCTCACGCCTAAATTCCTAGCTACTCAGGAGGTAGAGATCAGGAGGATCTCAGTTTGAAGCCAGCCCAGGAAAATAGTTTTGTGAGACCCTCTCTCAAAAAACTCCATCACAAAAATAGGGCTTGTGGAGTGGCTCAAGGTATAGAACCTGAGCCCAAATCCCAGTACTGCAAAAAAATGTAAAGCTAGTCTCTTACAGATAGCATACAGTTCAATCTGTTTTATTATTCATCCATTCATTCATCCTTCATCTTTTTAACTGAAGAGTTTCATCCATTTAAAGCAAATGTTGATAGGAAAGGACTTATGACTGCCATTTGGGAATATTTTCTGGTTATTTTTTAACTTTATTTGAAGACAGATATGTTACACCACCCTGTTTTGAGGAAAGAAGTTTTGTAGGATATGTTTAAAATCTCACAATGCTTATCCTCTCCCTTATTTCTCCTCTTATGTGTATATAATTATTTTCCTACTATTCTTTTTTTTTTCTTTTATTACTCATATGTGCATACAAGGCTTGGGTCATTTCTCCCCCCCGTCCCCACCCATCCCTTACCACCCACTCCACCCCCTCCCTCTCCCCCCCCAATACCCAGCAGAAACTATTTTGCCCTTATTTCTAATTTTGTTGTAGAGAGAGTGTAAGCAATAATAGGAAGGAACAAGGGTTTTTGCTGGTTGAGATAAGGATAGATATACAGGGCATTGACTCACATTGATTTCCTGTGCGTGGGTGTTACCTTCTAGGTTAATTCTTTTTGATCTCACCTTTTCTCTAGTTCCTGGTCCCCTTTCTTATTGGCCTCAGTTGCTTTTAAGGTATCCGCTTTAGTTTCTCTGCATTAAGGGCAACAAATGCTAGCTAATAATTAGGTGTCTTACCTATCCTCATCCCTTCCTTGTGTGCTCTCGCTTTTATCATGTGCTCAAAGTCCAATCCCTTGTTGTGTTTGCCCTTGATCTAATGTCCACATATGAGGGAGAACATACGATTTTTGGTGTTTTGGGCCAGGCTAACCTCACTCAGAATGATGTTCTCCAATTCCATCCATTTACCAGCGAATGATAACATTTCGTTCTTCTTCATGGCTGCGTAAAATCCCATTGTGTAAAGATACCACATTTTCTTAATCCATTCGTCAGTGGTGGGGCATCTTGGCTGTTTCCATAACTTGGCTATTGTGAATAGTGCCGCAGTAAACATGGGTGTGCAGGTGCCTCTGGAGTAACCTGTTCACAGTCTTTTGGGTATATCCCCAAGAGTGGTATTGCTGGATCAAATGGTAGATCAATGTTAGCTTTTTAAGTAGCCTCCAAATTTTTTTCCAGAGTGGTTGTACTAGTTTACATTCCCACCAACAGTGTAAGAGGGTTCCTTTTTCCCCGCATCCTCGCCAACACCTGTTGTTGGTGGTGTTGCTGATGATGGCTATTCTAACAGGGGTGAGGTGGAATCTTAGTGTGGTTTTAATTTGCATTTCCTTTATTGCTAGAGATGGTGAGCATTTTTTCATGTGTTTTTGGCCATTTGAATTTCTTCTTTTGAGAAAGTTCTGTTTAGTTCACTTGCCCATTTCTTTATTGGTTCATTAGTTTTGGGAGAATTTAGTTTTTTAAGTTCCCTATATATTCTGGTTATCAGTCCTTTGTCTGATGTATAGTGGCAAATATTTTCTCCCACTCTGTGGGTGTTCTCTTCATTTTAGAGACCATTTCTTTTGATGAGCAGAAGCTTTTTAGCTTTATGAAGTCCCATTTATCTATGCTATCTCTTAGTTGCTGTGCTGCTGGGGTTTCGTTGAGAAAGTTCTTACCTATACCTACTAACTCCAGAGCATTTCCTAGTCTTTCCTGTATCAACTTTAGAGTTTGGGGTCTCATATTAAGATCCTTGATCCATTTTGAGTTAATATTGGTATAGGATGATATACATGGATCTATTTTCAGTTTTTTGCAGACTGCTAACCAGTTTTCCCAGCAGTTTTTGTTGAAGAGGCTGCTATTTCTCCATCGTATACTTTTAGCTCCTTTGTCAAAGACAAGTTGGTTATAGTTGTGTGGCTTCATTTCTGGGTCCTCTATTCTGTTCCACTGGTCTTCATGTC